CACTTTGATCTTACTTGTTGTTAGTACTCCAATCACAACCAAAGACGCAAGATGGGTGCTTGTACTTTTGCAAACTGGATCCATCAACATTTCTGATAATGCTGCAAAAAAAGGAGCACAAACAATGCAGTAATAAAATTGCATTCACATTGACTGTAAATTGATTCTTTATTGAAGGCCAGTTTTGACTAATTGATTCCCTATTGAGGCATTAACTGGTCAATTGATTCTCTACTGATGGTGAGGCATTAACTGGTCAATTAATTCACTAGAGGGCCAGATATTGGTCAGTCAATTTATTCCCTTCTATGGACCAGGTACTGGTCTGTCACCTGATTCCTGAATCAAACTTTGACTGGGCAATTTATTCTCCACTAAGGGCCAAACATCAAATGGTCAATTTACTCTCTACTAATTACCAGGTACTGGTCAGTTAATTGATTCCCTCAGAATCAGGCTTTGACTGGGCAATTTATTCTCTACTGAGGGCCAAACATTAACTGGTCAATTTATTTTCTACTAAGTACCCGGTACTGATCAGTCAATGACCGGTCAAATTATTCTCTACTGAGGGTCAGGTATTAACTGGTTGATTTGACCCCATACTGAAGCCAGGGATACAAATAGTTCCTTACCAGTAGCCATCTGAGCCACACGTTGCTATTCTCCTGGAATCCTTCTGATTCCATGCAACACAAAACACGCTTCCTTTGTGCTGTAAACAAAAGAAATATTTAATGTATAACTACATTAAATTTATACAACAATTATAATACGACAAACACAAAGCCCTGCTACATAACACTTACCTCTTGATAGCGGTGAATTACCTTGTTTTTATCCATATCCCAAATGAAGGAACCGTTTTTTGATGTTGACGCTGCGACACAATTCAGATCAGCTGTCAATGAAAACAAAAACATTTACTTGACATATTGCATCACATATAGACACAAACACAACACCTGTAGGAACACACCTCATGCAGACACACACAACATCTGTA